GCAACAAGTTGCATGGATGGAGACCAGTGTGAGTTTGCTTTCGCTCACATCATCAAGTCCAAGAACAGATCCGTAAAAACTGATGACATCTGGAGGCCTGCCTGTGCCTCCACCACCTCATAATGCCCGCCTATGAGACCCTGGCCTCCTCCCAGTGTCAGAAGTCCTACTAAGGTAGACATACATTTATTTTTATATAGCTTGCATAAAAAGTTGTCTCCTACAGATTTATCACAATGTGTCTGTACGTTGTTTTTTTAATTACATTTTAGACCAGACTAGTGTCTTATACACTGACTGGCACCTTTGTGTTATTTATTTATTTATTTATTTTGCAGTTTGGGTGTGCCCTTGTTTTCTCTACCTAACGTGGCTTTGTATGTGTGTCTTGTCTTATAGATGGTGAACAAGTGGAACTCTTTGAATGGTCTGGAGCCGGCAGTCCGGACCAGTGAGGGACTGAGCTCTTCAACACCCGCATATGACACACATTCTGCATGCTGCACAGAGATTAAGGTTTGAAATAGTTGTTGGAAATTTGTGAATCTGCACCATCGTAAGTCACTTTTTGTAATAGTATAAACAAGAGAGTTTTATATTGTTTGCTTTGACTTTGAAAAAAGTTGGAGCATCACTCTTCTGTTTCTCTGTCAGGAGTTAAGTAAGGATTTCATCTTTTCTTTTTTTTTGGTAGGTAWATATATGGTTAAGTAGATAGTTTTGTATGACAATACRTTAAATTAAATAAAACTAGCAACACATTACATTCTGTTTTATTTACTTTGAAGAKGTGATTAGTAGGGAGACGAAAAACAATGTTTTTTTTTATACCAAGACTGGGCGAGTAGATCTTGGCAAACTGCTGACTTCAAAAATAGCTCTTGGTTCAATAAAGGTTGGGRACCCCTMGTTTAAACCTTATTTCAGTGTAGTTTTGCCTTCATCCACCAGAGGGCACTGCTTCTCTACCTCAGCCCTGTTAAACAGAGCAGGAAGCCGTCTTGATATGGGCGGGACCGCAAACACGCGAGTCTTATTTAATTTTATTTGCGACACAACAATAATAATGGACTACACCAAACTGGAAGGAAAAGTACCGAAGGCTGTACCAGTTCATCAAGCTGTATGACGCTAAAGACAAGAGAGCAGGACGACAGAACGGTAAGCTAACTTTAGCTAACATTAGCTTCCACTTGTAGAGTTTAACTCCGTGTGAAAGAACAAAACAAAAAAGTTACAGTCACTAAATTAATCTAATCTGTGTGATGTAATCCGGCCAGTAAACCAATCTAATGAACAGTGACTGACGTCAGATCATGCTGTGTAGCCCAACTAAAATAGAACCAGAGGGAATGTAAACAAACAAACAAACACAGGGTTCCTACAGCTTAAGACAAGTTACATTTAAGACTTTTTAAGACCTCTTTAATGCCACTTGAAATGAAATTTAAGACCCAATTCAAAATTAATACAAATGTAGGAAAAAAAAACAGTTGGTGACAATTTTACCCAAATGTTTATTGTAAAACAGAACAACTAGCTCGGTGAATTGTTAAAAAAAACCCAATAGCATAAATATTACCAATTATTTAAATATTTGAAACAATTTAAAATCATCCTACTTAGTATGTTAACATTTTTAAGACCTCTGAAAGATCGATTTAAGACATTTTAAGTCTAATTAAGGCCTTATTTTTGGATTGACAAATTCAATGCCTTTTTAAGACTTTTTAAGGATCTGCYGGAACCCTGAAACAATTGCCAGTACTCATTTGTATCTCACGTCTTTCAGGGATATTTTATTATGTTCCTAGTTTGTTTTTGAGTTATTCTTTATCTTAAATTATAACCTTATGTTTAAATTATAGTGTTTCATCTTCAGGGTGGATTAAGTGTTTTACTTGTTTTATTCTTTCATTTTTTCCAACTAGCAATTTAACAGACTCCTGTTTTGTTATATTTTATAAATATGCCAAAGTTTGATAATGTGAGAGAAATCCACATTTTTCTGTTCCGTCAGTGTTTACTCACACAGCTGGCACAATGAATTCTTAAAATAATACTGTACTTTTTTGTGTAAAAAAATTAGCCCTTCATGTTAAAGAAAGACTCTTGATTCAAGAGAACTATCAGGTTTTTAAGAAAATGGCCACTTATCAATTGTTAGTCGATTGATAAGATCAATCAACCTTAGATTAATTCATTAATCGATAACTTGCATCCCTAATGCTAATGTTTTCTGCTTGAGTAAAAAAAAAAGAACAAGGTTAAAACAAACCTCTCACACATGTCGAAGATGAAGAGGCAGAAGGAACCAAACACGATGGGTCCAACCTGCTTCCAGTAGACTGAAAAACGGTTCCTCTCCGTCTGGTCCTGAAGAGGAGGCAAGAGAAACTTCTAATTACTGGATCACCAGTTCWACAGGAGCCTGTGAGGCTCCAAGTGTGACCAGAATTCTTTCATTCCACAGCTAACTCCACAGCTGTGATCCAGAACATGAGGAGAAGAATTAAAGTTTAAACATCTAACTCAACTCTGCTAAACCTCTGATTAATCTGAGRGGCTGTCATCACAGGAACATCAAGCTGCTTGGAGATGGTCTTATAGTCTTTACAGGTCACACCTGCACACAAGTCAACTTGTACGGATTGTCTGTAAGTTATAAGGATTTTACGTCATTTTGCAGGTACACGGCCGCATAGAGCAATCTCATGGATTTTTTTCAAAACCTCATTTTCAAATTTATCTAACATATCAGAGCCTGTAGGATGATTTAAAAAACAATAAATAACATTAAATAGCCATCTTCCAACCTGTTCTGCCGCTAAAAATAAGTTTTGAATTMTTTCCGCTCTCCTTTCCTCCTGCTTTGCAGCGGGTGCTTTCATGTCAGCAGCCGATAGAACCTGCCCCCTGCGGGGGCGAGTTGTATGGATTTTTGAGGCTCTTTATACAGGRAAACATCCGATGAGGTTYACATGTATGCACCTGAGTTTTACATGATGTCCCTGTGGATAAATTCAGTTTCAGTCTTTTCTAGGAGAATTTTTTGTGTTTGTGTATAAATGTTTTTGTTGTTATGTCTACTCACTGTGCAGCAAATTACACCTTGGAGATAATAAAGATTCTTAAACTTGAATCATCCYTTTAGTCAAGGTCAAGTAACAATATAATTGTGCTTAAAAGATTCATTAAAAATGTAAAAATAAAAATTGTTTGCACTCTGGACAGAGTGGGTCAACAAACAGGGAGATCGGTGTACCATGAGATGTTCACCACAGAAAATGATCCAGAAGGACAGCAGCATGGAGTAGAAGATGCCCTGTCTGATGTCTCCAAACAGAAGCATCCAGGTCCAGTTAAAGCCCACAGAGAACCACTCCACTGGCATGTTGATGAATGTCATGGAGATACCAAGAGCAAAAATGACCCTGAGGAGAAAAAAAAACAACAACAATGAGACAAACAGGCTACAGCATCCCAAACATTGAATTAAATTATCTTCTCAACTTATTTTATTCCAAGAAAACATGGGAGTTGCAGAGCCTCTCTGGTCGCATTGGATTAAAAAGAAAAAGGTTTGAACATGACAGTTTGAATTAATTTTATTTTAATATAAAAATGAATTACAATGACATCCTTCAGTCACTTGCAAATGGCATGGAGTAATTCTTAGAAAGAGACACTTAATTRGGCTGCTCAAAATTATCAAGAGGCAAATTTAAATACAACACTGGACCAAACAAGTAGGTCGAGATAATTATTTCATCAATTCTGTTGCAACATTCATATTTACTTCCTCAAACTTAGCGGGCTGTGTGATGTCATGTTTTCTCTAATGGGTCACTTCAGAAGGGTGAACAAATCACACTGGATGGAAGTCATATTTAAAATACAAATAAAATCCGGTCAGATTTGAGCATTAACAGCCGCAGTGTGAACATATCCATAGAGCTCCCTGTCACATCTGCCTTCTAAGTTTAGTAAAATCTGAGGTTTCTCTTTCTGATACCTCTGTGGGCCAACATGAAAGGAGCCTCTGCTGAAGCTTTTACAGTATTAAAAAAATCATCTACTGCCCACAAATAGGCTTTGACAAGTCACACTTCTTAAGAGCTCGCTMGTCATCTGGGAATAAGAGCCCTGAGCTGGAAAAAACAGAGGGAGCTGTATGTGTGTGTGCGCACGCTTGTTCACACAAGTGKAGCATGTGTCCGAGTACCAGCTAGTACATTTTGTAATGTGTCCCAGAACAGCAGGAGGTTACACAAACTCTGGCTTCTGAACACAACTTCAGGTCCACTTAGCATGCCTTCCAACATACTCGTTCCAGGCAAAAGTACTTAATATCTAGATTTAATTMTCTAGAATTTGTCCAAAAATGCACACAAATATTTGACATCTTGAGTTTTAGCTTGTGTTGTCTAGGGTTGGGTACTAAAACTGGGTTCCATTATGGCACRGGTGCGAACATCAACGGTAGTACACGGACCGAAACACAACTCTAACTTCGGTGACAAAAAGAAAGCTATTAATTTGCGCCCTCTGGTGTTCACTGTTAACAGTGACAGCCTCGACAGTGTCGGCACACAATCTCAACAGATGCTCTTGTACGCGGTTCGACCCGGCTCGGTCTCGGCCCAATGCGTCTCCAAGCGCGCTCCACAGCCGCGCTGTCTCAGAACTTCCTCTCCGGTGGTTC